AATTGCTCCCCCTCGGCAGCTCCTGCTGCTCTCCCGCCGGTACCTCCTGCTGCCCTCCTGTTGGCAGCTCCTGGCCTCCTGTTGGCAGCTCTTGCCCTCCTGTTGGCAGCTCCTGCTGCTCTCCCTCTAGCAGCTTCTGCTGCTCTCTCTCTACCAGCTCCTGCTGCCCTCCTGCCTGCAGCCGGACCTGGTTCCCCGATTGGTCATGCTGCACCTCTTTTCTTTGTCTCCTCTAGTTTCATTTTGTTCACTGTATTTTCTTTCATTCATCTCAGTTATTTCTTCGTTTCATTTTGTCGAATTCTTGTTCGTTTGCTTCCACTTTAAGATCTAGACCCTATTTTCGATTTAGTAATTCATTCTTTGTACAATGCTTTTTCTATTCGTTTTGTACTTCTCTTGTTGTGATTTGATTTCTTTCTCCTTATTCGCTTTCTTTTCTATTTCATTTCCTCTACACCTACCATGTTTGATTTATTCTCTCCCCCCTTATTTCCTTCCTTTCGTCCATCTTCTCCATTTATCGCTTCTTTGCTTTTATGGCCTTACTCCTATCTTTCGTTTTATCTGGCCTTCCCTTTCACCATTTTATCACCACTGTTCTCATTCTAAGTTGCCTACCGACTTGTTTTTGCTGTACTTGTCTCCATATTTTCTTACATTCTCTTGCTTCTGATTTTTGCTTCAAAATTCAAATTATTCCATTATTAATGTTTTCGCTTCTTGTTAACATCCTCCTTGTCATATCCGTGTTTTGCATCCACTCTTCTTGTTTTTTTTGCTTGTTCATTTGAGTTTGGTTTTTTTCACCTTATTCACAATTCATCCCTTCTACTTGTTCCTTTCTCCGTTTTGTGATGCTTGCTTTCTTCCAGCACGCACGCCTAGCATACTACTTTATGGTCAAGCGAAGCGATTGGGAAATGTTCGATTCTGGGATTTGATTTAGATTGCTGTTCATTATATTTTGCATCTTTTGTTTTCATTTCTTCGTAATTGTTCCTCTTGTTTGTGCGTTTGTATATGGTTCTCTTGTTAACATCCTCCTTGTCATACTTTGCATCCACTCTTCGTATTTTCGCTGCTTTTCATTTTGGTTTAGTTTCTTTCATTTTATTCGCTCTTAATCCCTTCTACTTGTTCCATCCGTTTTGTTATGCATATTTTCTTCCTTCACCGGGCTGCACGTACGCCAGATGTACTACCTTATGATCGAGCCAAGCGATTGAGAAATGTTGGATTATGGGATCTGATTTAGATTGTTGTTCATAATATTTTTGCATCTTCTGTTTTCATTTCTTCATAGTTGTCCCTTTTGTTTGTGCATTTGTGTGTGGTTCTTTTATCTTCAGTTTGTCTTCGTATGTGTGCGAATGTGTGATTGTGTGCATTCATGTGTATCCATCTATGTTCATTATTCCATGAACAACTCATGTATAAGAATTTTAAGAAGAAGGCTTAGGTAGGTCTATCATTTCACAAAAGGTTCATTGACACACTCAGTGACCAATGTGTTTGCCACTTCGAACTGGATTTGATAGAGTTAACATTTTTCCAAATTTCACATATTGTGTTGTTTCACGTGGTAGTCGATCATTTAAAAGCTCGGGTATTGACCTCCCTCATGCTAGACAGGGAATGGTGGTAGCTTAGATTTTGGGTCGTTAATTGTTACGCATTCTATACAGAATATTGGCACAAAACCACTACAAAAAAAAAAAATTAGTATGGTTTAATACACTGCAAGCAGTATTCAAACCTGCTCAATATGCATACAGTATGGAAAGGGTATTACTATAGTTTACAAACAAATTTTCATATTTTATGAAAAAATAAATTATAAAAAACTCGATCAATTTGATCATAAAGGGTTGCTTCACAACTCAAAAAAAGGTGTTCCTTTACTATCAAACACAATAAAAAAGATAGGGGAGGGGAACTTCAAGACACGCAACACTACACGTAGAGTCCAGCATGCACGAACTCCAAATTATCTGTTGAAAGAAGATCCAATATTTGTAGAAAGGACTAGCACACTCAATAGCCAGAAAGACGTAGCGTATCATGTGAGAATCGGTGGCGTACTCATGCAACGCCGTTGTTGCAGCGGCTGCATTTCCATCGGACATAAGGTCTCCAGAAGGGGGTGCATTATTCGGATAAAAATGCACACCGCTCCTCCCGGATTCCGTGGTCCACCACCTCAGTCCCACCCACTCCGCATCGTTTGCCATGCGCATAGAAGCTGCAATGTGATCGTTCTTGAGCAATCATTAGAGGATTATCAATCTTCAGTTTTTTTTGTCATTGTCAGGGTTATAATGTCGGCATTGTGGGGATCCTTCGAAGGGCCTTGAAAGATCCGTTCCAAGCCCCTCTCCTCCGACCACTCGAACGGCACCATGCCCGAACGTCGCCAACACCTCCTAATGATCTCCCGCCCCATACTCCACACGCTGCATATCCATGTGATGGCCAACCGCAAATATGGTTGATTGGTTTTCCGCGCCTCTTAGTCACGTGTGCGTTGAAGCTCATCGATCAACCACGCGACCAAAAGCTTTCGGTTTCGCAACTTCAAAGTTGCGATGACGACTTGATCCAATGGTTGAACGTGCGAAGTGCAGGTGGGGGGAAGATAAATCACTCTCACATTGTGAACCTCTACAATCTTAAAGCGAGCAGGCAAAATAGTGACCCCGTTTTCTAGTTGGGTCCAGGTTGAAATGACTGAAGTGGCGGGAAGGAGTGCGGGTGGATGGCCAGAATTTACGCGCCAAAAGAAAGGAGGCATGTACCCAACGGGAGGGGAGCAAAAAAAAATCAGAGATCAGTTGATCGCATGTGTGGTTGGCGATAGCGTTGTGAATGCGTGAGCGAGCAAACCTGCTCCTCACCCAATCATGTGTGGGAACAACATCTTCTGATTGGACCGTCAAGGCAGAATGAACACTGCTGCAGCACCTGCAACCCTCGACAGAATCACCCCAATTGAAACATCTTCAACACAAGCCACATGAGAAATGAGCACCGCCCATCTCGAACACACCCTGCCTACCCCCTGACTAAATGTGTGGGACCAAAGCTGCACGACACTGAGTAGCATAGCTAGAGCTCCTCCCGCGTGCTATAGTCGAAGCTAGTGATGAGACCGTTTAGGCGCTGCGCCAGCGCGAGACCAGAACTGATCGAAATACGACATGCGCGGATGTGTGCAAGTGAATCCGTTTGTGCCTGTTTCTTCCCGTGCACGTGACTGATTTAGTCGCGTCACTGCTTTAATTCACTATCTCCTCGTCGCCCCCGCTTCGCGATTTCCCACGCGCTTCTATTCGTCGCCCCCGCCTCGTCATTTCCCACGCGCTTCACCTCGTCGCTCCCGCCTCGTCATTTCCCACGCGCTGAACCGCGACGCTCCCGCCTCGTCATTTCCCACGCGCTGAACCGCGACGCTCCCGCCTCGTCATTTCCCACGCGCTGAACCGCGACGCTCCCGCCTCGTCATTTCCCTCACGCGGAACCTCGTCGCCCCCGCCTCGTCATTTCCCTCGCGCTTCTCCCCGTCGACCCCGCTCCTCATTTTCTCGCGCGCGCAGCCTATACTCGCACATGAAGTTTGCCAATGATTCCCTCCAGTAAAACACCTCCAACCACCCGAATCGCCTCTTCCTCCCTCCATCTCTCCTGGAAACCTCCATCTCTCCCCTCTCTTCCTCTCTCTCCGTCCCTCACTGCCTTGCTCTCTTCCCCCCTTCCAATGTCCCTCTCATGTACCCCTCTCAGGAGAGAGGGGTAAGGACCGAGGGTTTGAGACAAAGGGGAGAGGACACAGGGGGAGAGACAGAGGGGGAAGGACAGATTGGGAGAGGCATAAGGGGAAGGACAGAGGGGGAGAGAAAGAAGGGGAAGGACAGAGAGGGAAAGACTCAAGGGGAAGGACAGAGGGGAGGAACAGAGGGGGAGGGGCAGACAGGGAGAGAGAGAGAGGGAGAGCCTGTTCTTCCCTCACTCCCTCCCCCAGTCCCCCTCACTTCTGGCATCACTGTTAACACCCCTCATTATTTGAGGGGACTCTCTTTCTCCCACCAGCTTTGTTAACCCTTCCCCCCTCCCATCGCCCTGCTTCCCCCCTCCCATCGCCCTGCTTCCCCCCTCCCATCGCCCTGCTTCCCCCCTTCCATCGCCCTGCTTCCCCCCTCCCATCGCCCTGCTTCCCCCCTCCCATCGCCCTGCGTCCCCCCTCCAATCGCCCTGCTTCCACCCTCCCATCGCCCTGCTTCCCCCCTCCCTATGCCCTGCTTCCCCGCTCCCTATGCCCTGCTTCCCCCTTCCCTATGCCCTGCTTCCCCCCTCCCTATGCCCTGCTTCCCCACTCCCTATGCCCTGCTTCCCCCCTCCCTATGCCTTGCTTCTCCCCTCCCTATGCCCTGCTTCCCCCCTCCCTATGCCCTGCTTCCCCCTCCCTATGCCCTGCTTCCCCCCTCCCTATGCCCTGCTTCCCCCCTCCCTATGCCCTGCTTCCCCCCTCCCTATGCCCTGCTTCCCCCCTCCCTATGCCCTGCTTCCCCCCACCATCAGAGAGGTGAGCGCCACACACCAGGTGAGCCTTCACCTTCTTGATATGCCCCTCCTCTCCCTCTATCTCACCCTCTTTCCTGTCCCTCCCATGTACCCCTCCTCCCCCGTGCATGCCCTGCTTCCCCTCTCCCTATGCCCTGCTTCCCCCCTTCCCTATGCCCTGCTTCCCCCTTCCCTATGCCCTGCTTCCCCCCTCCCTATGCCCTGCTTCCCCCCTCCCTATGCCCTGCTTCCCCCCTTCCCTATGCCCTGCTTCCCCCTTCCCTATGCCCTGCTTCCCCCCTCCCTATGCCCTGCTTCCCCCCTCCCTATGCCCTACTTCCCCCCTCCCTATGCCCTGCTTCCCCCCTCCCTATGCCCTGCTTCCCCCCACCATCAGAGAGGTGAGCGCCACACACCAGGTGAGCCTTCACCTTCTTCATATGCCCCTCCTCTCCCTCTATCTCACCCTCTTTCCTGACCCTCCCATGTACCCCTCCTCCCCCGTGCATGCCCTGCTTCCCTCGATCCCCTTCCCTGCTTCCCCCCATCCCCTTCCCTTCTTCCGCCCATCCTCTTCCCTGCTTCCCCCCCTCCCCGCCCCTAACCCTTTCCACCCCACTCCACTCCTTTCTTCCCCTCCTGTACCCATCTGGTCCATTGCAGAGCCAGTTGGGCGGCAAGGTGCTTTTCTTCCAGTCCACCATGCCCTCCCTAGGCGCGGCCGGCAGAGGCTGCGGGGAGATGACCCGGAGCTGTATGGCACGGACAGGGAGCACACGGTGCGCTGCTCACTCTAAAGACGCCTTCTACCTCCCTTCAAACCCACCAACCCCTCCGTCCACCTCCCGTATCTGCTCCCATCGCTGCTCCACCGAACGCAGAGTCAGTTGGGCAGCAAGGTCCTTCTCTTCCAGTCCACCATGCCTTCTCTCGGAGCAGGCAGGCTGAGGCTGAGAGGCGACGATCCCCGGCTGTGTATGGCACGGACAGGGAGCTCGACCGCGCACTGCTCTGAAGACGCTTTTTATAAGACACCAGCGGCCGAGTTCTCCCGCGCGCAGCTTTGTGTCGACGTGTTTGTCTTCAGCAGCAAAAACTGCGACCTGGCTTCTCGTGGTGAGTTGGTTTTGGCATGTTCCTGCGGGGGTGTGTTTTTCCTGGCCTCGCCTGGTGAGTCTGTTATAGTCACAATAGGCTCCAATAGGCTTCAATGTGCCTAGAACCAAAGATAGAGTGCGTAGTCAGATTTCTGCACAGCGGCTTCAAACGATCATAGCGATCTGGTCACAGCTCCAATTGACCTCATTCAACTTGGATCTAGAGCGTCTTAACGTGCCCTACAATAGGCAATTTAGATCGCACGATTTCATCAAGTATTGACGACACAGCGTCAGATTGAAGGAACGGCACTATGGCAGCAACATAGTCTTAGAACACACAATTACGAACAGCTAGGAAGAGTTGCGAGTTGGGAAGGACTCCCAGCTCCTACAAACCCCAAGAACCGAGCTACAGTGATGGGGAACAGTGCCACACTGTCCCCAACCAAGAAGGGTCTCGAAACTACCCTCCACAAGGGCCTACACCCATAGAAATGTTACACTACAAATTGTAATGTAACTATCTTCAATATCTTGAGGTGTAGCCTTTTGGCGAGCTTCAAAACACTTGAAGCTTGAAACCAAGGCTCGGGTTCTTCATCACAAACTCAACCTTGAGTTCTTGATGGGTCTGCTGCACACACCTGCGACACGCCGAACGTTCGACAAGCGACAAAATAGAAACCGCGCACGACAAAATAGAAACCGCGCGGGACACACAAAATGACCGCGTTAACACGCGGCTAGCGATAACTCGCTATAGACTCGACACACACACACACACACACTCGATACATGACCCATCATACACACACTACTATAAGCATGAAATATATATTTATTTCATGCACTCATACCACTCCATGCACACACGCATGCACGCGCACGCACACGGACAACAAGCCGAGTGCAAACCGTAGGGTTGCACCAACAAACTCCCCCTCGGGTTGTTGGCCTTAGGAACTTGCTCTCTCAGTTCAGAGCCATCCCGGCCAGCTTGCAACACTTCCAATGCTGCTGCTCCACCAGCCTTTTGGTCATCATGTCCGCTGGCTGCCCCGTCGTCTTCACATAACGCAACTCAACTTCACCCGCGGCCACCATGCTCCTCGTCCAATGCCACTTCACCCTCATGTGCTTTGTCAGGCCGTGTAGCACAGGTTTCTTGGCTAGAGCAGTGGCACCCTGGCTGTCACAATAGAGAGGGGTAGGTCCTTGCTGCTCCTCCCCCAATTCAGCCAGCAAACGCCGCTGCCACACAATCTCCCGTACCGCACGGAAGAGTGCCATGTACTCGGACTCCACCGAGCTCAATGCTTGGTCCACCTGCTTCTTGCTCTCCCAAGCAGTTGGGCCTCCACCAACACAGCAGATGAAGCCTCCCACACTTGTCATGTCCTCTGGTTCCGATGCATATGAAGCATCCGAGTAGGCGGTGAGGAACAAACGCCCGGGTTCCACACCATCCGCGCCCTTTTGGCGCCTTTGCGCCGCTGCCGAATATTGCAGCCCAACGGTCGGTGTTTGGCCAAGGTACTTGGCCACCCTCATTCCAGCTGCTACCTGCTCCTCATTAGGGCATTGCACCACCCTAGCCAGCTGCCCAGTAGCAAACGCGACATCCGGTCGAGTGTTGACCGCCGCATACATGAGGCTGCCCACCAATGAATGAAAACGGCGCCTCTCCTCTTCACCCACGCTCTCCTCCTCTGGTCCCTTCACACTTTTGAACCCAGAGGGAAAGGGTGTAGCCACATGGCCTTCATTCTGCCCAAAGTTGGCAGCCAATGCCTCCAGGTACTTCCGTTGGTGCACCCGCATGCACCGCTTCTCCACGTCTCGTTCAATGTGGAGCCCAAGGTAGAAATTCACGTCCCCAAGGGACTTGCACTTGAACTTGTCTTGCAGCTTCAGCATCACCTCCTTCACAAGGTCAGAGGAGGGTGAGAAGATCAGGATGTCATCCACGTACACCACCATGAAGCTCCTCTGCTCCCCCTCGCCAAGCATGAACAAGGAGTGATCGGCCGTTGAGGGAGTGAAGCCGATCTCCTCCAACACTTCGCGCAGCTTCAGGTACCACTGCCTAGGGGCCTGCTTCAGCCCATAGAGGGCCTTCTTCAGCTTCCACACTCTGCCACTACCATCGTCAAACCCCTCTGGCTGCGCCATGAAAATCTCCTCCTCGAGGATTCCGTTGAGGAACGCCGTGACGATGTCTAGCTGCTTCACCACCCAACCTTTGATCGCGGCTCCCGCGAGTAGGGTTCGCAGCGTCGTCGGCTTCACCATAGGAGCAAACAGCTCCTTGAAGTCCACATTCTCCTTCTGCTGGTACCCCTTGGCCACCAGCCTAGACTTGTAACGCTCGATCTTGCCGTCGGCGTCGGACTTGATCTTGAAGAGCCACTTGGACGTAATCGCCGTACGCCCCTCCGGTAGCTCCACCAACTCGTACGTGTCGTTCTCCTCAATGCTCTTCAGCTCACTCTCCATTGCCTTCTTCCACTCCTCAGCATCACCACTCTCCAAGGCCTCCTTGAGAGTTGCTGGTTCTCCCGGCATCTCCACCGGGAAGAAGAACGCGAAGGCACACTCCTCGTAGTCGCTCTCTTCGTCGTCTCCGACCATCATTGCCGCTCCAGCTAGGGCCGTCTTGCCCTGCTTCCCCGGCGCATCATAGATCAGCCTATTGGGGGCGTGAACTCTTCTCTTGACCCTTCCTTCCTCCTCAGCTGCAGGGACTTGAAGGCCTTGGCGCTGCTGCGGTGTGGTGCGGTTCCGTGGAGCGCTCGTAGTGCGGGAAGGGAGCGTCGGTGCACGCTCGCTCACTTGCTGCACCTCCTCCTCTTCTTCCTCTGCATCATTGGCCTCCTCTCCCCCATTCACAAGGGAAGATTGCCTTGTGGTGGTGCTGCCGCTGCTCAGCTCCAAAGGCAGCTCCACGTGCTCCAACCCGGAACTCTTCACCTCCCCAAACCGCACGCCTATCTTCGCCTCATTTTCCACCTTTCAATCCTTGTACATGAAGTTCTCCATGAACTTGCAGTCCCTGCTCACCATGAACTTCTTGGTGAATGGGTCCCAAAGAAGCCACCCCTTGCTGTTTTGAGCCATGCCCAAGTGCACGGCCCACACCGCCTTGGCACCAAGCTTGTTGTGCCGAAGATGCTTAGGTACGAGCGCCATGCACATGCACCCGAACACCCGAAGCATATCCACCTTTGGCTTCCTTCCAAGCCACTCCACATAGGGCACCCATTTGTCTGCTCCCACATGAGTCAAAACTCTGTTCTTGGCCACACACGCGCTCCGCACCGCATCAGGCCAAAAGTAGTCGGGTAGCCCGGCTTCAATGAGCAACCCGCGTGCCGCCTCCGTGATCGTCCGGTTCGCTCGCTCGGCGATGCCGTTCATTGCAGGGGAGTATGGCATGGTGAGGGAGTGCCGAATGCCATTCTTCTTCAGCCACAACCCAAAATCCTTGCTCAGGAACTCTCCCCCTCGATCGGTGCGGATCGACTTCACTAGTCGGTCTTGTTGCCGCTCCACCATCGGGAACCAATCCGTCTTCAACGTTTCAGCCACGTCGCTCTTCTTGGCCAGCACATACACCCACGTCATGCGAGTGTAGACGTCGACAATGGTGAGGAAATATTCAGCTCCAGCAGCTCCAAGCTTCAGGGGGCCCACCACGTCCATCACCACCTCATCAAGTGGTGCCTTAGCCGTTGCCTCCGAGCTCGAGAACGGAAATCGGGTGAACTTGGCTTGCAAGCACGTTGGGCAGCCAAGCACCTCATTGGGCTCCCCCTTCACACGTATGCCAGCAACCATCTCATTCTTCACTAGCTGCTGCAAGATGGGTAGGGCCACATGCCCCATTCGCCGATGCAAGGTGAGCCAATCACACTCCCCCGTAGCCGAAGTTGGATTGGAGAATGCCGCGCTCGCAATATCGCCCCACATACTTTCGCCATTGTCCTCCTTCGCTGCTGCCTCGGGGTTCTCCTCACCCTTGTGCTGCTCCTTGGCTGCTGCACCACTCTCCTTGTGGTCACCGAGCTTGCTGGTCACTCCAGGTTTGCTCTTCTTGGACTCCTTCTCCTTAGCGCGACCGTCCGCGCTATCGCCGCTACCAACCGCGTCAACATTGGTGCTGACGCTTGCTGCCACTTGCCTCTCCTTAGGCATGGGGACCACAGGGATCTGCCACATCTCGTTGTAGACGTCCCTATCCTCATGAAGGTCCCAAAGAATCCGGTCGCCAATCCTTGCGGTGTAGGTCTTGGCTCCCTTCGAGTTCGTGTCCATGCCGGCCTTCGCCAACCGCCGCACGGAAATCAGGTTCGCAGCAAGGCTGGGCACCCAAAGCACGTTCTTGAGGCCCACCATCTTTCCATCAGCACCCTTGAACATGGCCTTCCCCATGCCTTTCACCTCTGCTCGCTGCCCCAAAGCCGATGTGACATGCTTCACCGGTGACGGCTCGAGTTCGGTGAGCAAGTCGGGGCGAGGTGTCATGCTATAGGTAGCGCCACTATCGATCACCCAATAGTCCAGGGGGTGTAGGGTCACCTTCCCCACAGCTGCTGGCTCCTCAAGGTCTTCATCCTTCTCTGGACCAGCAGGTACTTGCGTCGACACAAAGTAGAATAGACCCGGGTACCGATCGTCGCTCGGGTCCTTGTCGTTATCTTCGTTCTTCATGTTCGCGGCTCCACCTCCGCGACCGCCACGGCCTCCACGGCCTCTGCCTCTCCCTCCTCCTGCTCCTCCACCCTCTTGGCCTTGAGCAGGGGTCCATCCTTCAGGGAGTATGAAGCAATCGCGCCACATATGTCCGCTCTTGCCGCAATAGTGGCACTCGCCATCGAATCGGCCGCGACCGCGCCCGTAGCTCTTGTCGTCGCTGCCGTAACCGCCACTCCCGCGGCCTCCGCCGAAGTTGCTGCCACCAAATCTTCCTCCCCCTCGTCCTCTGCCTCTTCCTCGGCCATATCCACGGCCGACGCTTGCTGCCCCAGCGCCATCCGCACTCGCCAACTCACGGCGGCGGAAGTCCTCTTGTAGGATCGCGCGCTTCACGTCTTCAAGCGAGAGACGGGGCAGATCACGGTTCAAGTTGATGATGAGCGAGGACCACGACTTAGGGAGTAGGGCCAGCAACTTGGTCTTCTTCTGGAGCTCACTGTAGTTCAAATCAGCTCCCTCAAGCCGCGTCAACAAGT